CCTTCTCGATCTTACGCCTAAAAAAGCTTTTCTAATACATATAAGTGATTTTCCAAAAGGACAACTGTTTCAGAAATACCTTGTTTTTGCACTTTGCTTTTACCTGGGTGGATGGGTAACCGGAGCAGAAATTCATGGTTAGTACCTTTCATTACCATTCATTGAATTCATTACCCTTCACTTACCTCTCACTTACCTATCCTATCCTTTTGTGAAGTGCGGCATTCTCTCCTCTTGTAGATGCCTCGGAAGCTGAGCAGATCCCGTTGGAAGCGCAAGCGCTGAGCGGTTTGCCGCTTGTCGAATACCTCCAAAAGAACCAGGATCTTTTTGAGGTAAACCATGGTATGCCTCCATGGTAGTAAGGCGCCCAAGCAGTGCCCATTTTCAGGTCCAAGCGACACCTGTGCCCAACTTCGAGCAGAGATTAATGAATCTGAAATACAAAGATCAAGGTAACAGGCCTGTCCAAGAAGACGTGGAGGACATTGACGATGACATACCCGAGAGGTTGGTTTACAGCTTTTATTTAGGCCAATGTCAGACTTTGCAAATCGAGCGATTCGCTAGTGTTCGCAGTCACGTTACGGTACCAGCCAGTTGAGCGGATCGCTGGCCGCGACGCGACCGCGAAGGCTACGAGTCGCTCGATTCGCGAAGTCTGACATTGGCCTTACAAGGTCATTACGGCTGATTTTCCCTTTTCAGTTACGACCCTCGAATTCAATGGGCCAACTGCTCTTCGCTATTTCACATCCGCGACCAAGCTAACTGCGGTAAGGTTTCTCCACCCATACGGACCTACGAAACCCTCAAACCCGTAGGTTTGTTCAGGTTCATGCTGGGCAGTCTCTACAGCAGCTGCGATGTCGGACAGAATTTGTATTGCTAGTAAGGGAGCCAAACAGGTACAACACAATCGCTTAACTAAAAAAATAAACTTAAATCACAGAGCAAAATTCAGGTGCTGATCTCAGCCCAGGACACGGTGTCGTGCTGTACATGGTGCGGTGATGGGTATGTGGTATTTGTTTCAACTACTTGTGAGGCTATGAGAGTGTTTCCCCTCCCACCATCCTTTTTATGTGCATTTTTGTATGAGAAAGCAAGCCTAAGCTTGAGCCTAAACCCGACCTTAGCCGAGCAACAACCTCAGATAAAGTTGCATCAACAGTTCACCTGTGGGTGGGACAGAGTAGTCCGCAAGCATTACCGTTGTGCCGTTTCCGTGGCTCGAAAGTGCACATCAATGGCGCTAGGACCTTCCGAAGTGAGCTAATCATGCCTAATGTGAGCTAAGGGTCGAGAGACCTAGCGCACACTCCATAACACGCAACGTGGATTGCAAGGTAGCGGCGAATTCAAATTCGCGCGGGATAGTGGAACAATGGTTTCAAGCTATCCCGGACAGCTCGTCCGGACACACCTCCTGCCAAGCTGGACATGGAGCCCACGTTTAAGAGCAATTTGACCTGGGTTTGTTGCTTGAAATCTAAGCTCATACCCAGGATCAACCGTCCGTTGGACAAAGTCCAACGAGGGGGGTCGTATTCGGCCGACCGAAAGGGGGTCGTATTCGCAAAGTTCAACGTCGCAATACGTAGGTAAGATATTCGAGTGTTTCTTCTACTATTAACCACAAACGAGTGCATGGCGCACCTCAAAGCAGACGAGTACTGCGGTAGTGTCCATAACATACTGTCTACGCACACAAATGCTCTCAAGGGGATCCATTGTTCACAAATAGGATCTAACCATGAGTTAAAAAAAAGTGACCACTACGGTACATTGGCTACTATAAGAAAGGCTTATAAGAAAACTTTAGAAAAAAAATATCCAACTGTCTGCGACTTCCCAAAAAAAAAACATTAATATCCGTCATGATGCACAAAGCTTGCGCGATGTCATGACAACACTATTCCCAATAAAATTGAGTTTGAAGGCAGCTGTAATTGTTTGAGTGTTGAAAACTCGTGTTTTCAGAA